ACAGCAGACTGGTGAGTGGCACTCGACTGGAGTTGTGACAATGAGATGTATGTAACTAAGGGTAGTGTACGCAGACCTTGTATAGCATGACAAATCCAGTTCATGTTAGTAGGACTTTTTATGGGCATAGCTAAAATGCTATCTAGTATTTTTTTGGGGGGGTTTTATGACAAATTCTGGCAAACAAAGTGACATAAGTGGCTTGTAAAACTACTAAACCTAATCCCATGCACAACAACATTTCAGAGGGAAATAGGGTGTAATCTGTTTTTACAGGATTTTCCTATATTCAAACCTAGAAAGCTTCATACCAAATCTTATCTGAAAATATTAACTAACTTTTGTGCCTACTGTATTTATTGAAGCACATGTGCTCTATAAAATCAGTTTGGAGATCCATGCAATAAGCAGGCAGAGGAATTAAAAGTGAAAAAGTGCGTTTTTAATCTAGAATTTCCTTGCCTTTTTCAGCTTTATTCAGACCTAGTTTTTTGTATTTATGCACTTGATCACTCTGTTCTCTAAGAAAAATCATTTTGTGCAGCCAAGTTTCCTTTATGCTGCTTTAGTCCTTTCTTTCATTGATCTAAAAAAGATACAAAATACATGTTTCCATATGTAAATGCGCATTATGACTTTCACTGTTCATATGCTTAGTCACACATAGATACTGTGGTACCCCTGGGGCAACCTTAATAACATCATAGAAACTGAAGTGCACATTTTTTTTCTCTGTCCAGCTGTGCAGATTCACATCTGGTATTTTCAGGCTTGTTTCCAATCACCACGATATTGTGACGGCTCTTAGAATTCGCTCTTCCTTGCCGGGGGAGAGAGGCACCACCCAGACAGAAAAAAGAGCAATCATGCAGTGACAAGGTATTGCCACTGCTTGTTATAGTTTTGCAATAAACATCAATCTTGTGTTATCGGTACAGTCACAAGCATAGCAAGTAATGGGGGTGGTGGGAAAAGAAGAGCACATTAAACAGCATTTTAAAAAAATGTGCAGTTCATTTTATCTGTCACATGCACATTTTACTTACTTGATCTCTATGTATTCAAAACTAGAGAGAGAGAGAGACTCTGAAGGGAAGTAGCAGAAACCCCTTTCTGCTAGGTCATTTAAAGCTGGACTGGACAGCACACTAGAAAATACTGCAGGGAGCAGTCTTGCTTGGGCAGGAGGACTAAGATGACTTTGCAGACCTGTAATGCAGACAATTGGAAAAAAGAAAGGTGCATTTGTTTCAATGTAAACAAGATATTAGTTCTTTCTGTTGAAGTGACATGAATTGTCTGTACTGTAGCTGACAGCAACTTGTGCAGCTGGCATTTCTCAGGTGTGTTTGCTTTCTACGCCCTGGCTGGCATTGCAGAGCATGAGAGCACCGAGGTGCTGAAGTGCCACAGGCAAAGATTCAGTCATCAGCATCTGATACCAAAAGGACAGATTTGTTGCTAACTTACAGACATGCAGCCAGCTTTTGGAAGGAAACAGTCCTGTGTAGACAAACTGGCCTTAGATTTCCCAAAACATTGCCATCAAAGACAAATGCTTCTGACTTTATTACTGTAATTCATTTGAAATCCCCTCAAGTGACTTTTGGCAAGAGATTTGCAAAAGCAAGATTAAAGCAGGATGAAAAAAATAATTACAAGGTTTCTTCAATTGCCACGTTGTTCATTTTAAGATGATACATTGATTTATGTAAGTGCTACTTTCTCTAACTGCCGTACACACCTCACATGAAATAACTTAGGCTCTGATCCTACAAGCTATTCCATGCAGGTGGCTCCCTCCAAAAGTTTTTGTGGTTCAACCTAGACCAGTGATGGTTTGTCTGGATGCCTTAAATGCTACACTGCTGTGGCTCACAGCCTGAACACCGCCATCCAACAGACATGCATGAAGGTCACCTACTGGCTTCCACCGCCCAGTTTCTGTTTGTCCCAACATCCCCCAGTCCCAAATTTCCACAAAACTGTCTCCCGGAAGTGTCCAGCTTTCTCCTAATTAAGTGTGCTGCTCCTTTAAAGAGACAGAATTGTTATCTTGACTGGAGTGAACAATCACTTCTGTTCAGTCACAGCATGACTTGGTTTAGATAAAAAGTCAAACAAATTTATATGGTCAAAAAGATAGGACAGACATGGTTACACACAAAGGTAAAATTATACTTCTAAAACTAACACTTAACTCCAGCAAGTTACATTCTTTGTTCAAGGTAGTTTCCTCATCAATCTTCATTTTCCAACTGTGGCTGATTACTTCTTAGTTAGGATTCCCATAGAGGCCAAGGCACTGGTTTTCCTTGTCTCCTTAGGTGAAAGATCACTTAGGGGTTCTCTGCCCCTCTCTTTATAGTCCAGTAAATCTTTGAAAACTCTCTCTCTCAATGTTCATTGACCCTGCTTTAGGAGTCAGGAAGACTTCCTAGGGTGCAGTCTCCATCCCCCGTTGAGGTTAAGTGATCACTTTTCTCCCACTTGCTCTCCTGATGGCTTTTTTAGCCTGGCATGCAAATGTGGTTTTCATTGCCTTTGGTCAACGGAACCACATTCTCTTGTCTGGAAAAAAAAATGCTTATCAGCTCTCCCTGACATGTCTGGTTTAAACATGTTAGTCATAATTCCAGTATATCCATATAAATCTTTGTGGATTGACCATACATACATCACGCAAGAATATTAATGATCACTGAGTTATTAGTCTTCCAATGACATATTACATGACACCTTTTAGAGACAGATATAACAACTGGGAGTTGGGGTACACAGAGCTGGTCAGGCCAACAGAAACTCTCTGCTAGATACCAGGGAGCTTCTGGCATAGGGATGCTCTCAGGATTGCAGATTCTCTGCCACTAGCATCCTCCCTATGCAGAATAATTTGCAGGATTGGTGCGATAGTGCTCAATTGTGCCGTTTGACTAAGGACTACAAGATCAGACCTTAGATTAGTCTTCTTTCTAAAGTTCAAAGGGTTGCTTCCACTCTCATTGACTACAGCGGGAGCAAGATCAGACTCAGAGGGCTTTTTTCTAATGCACCAACTAAGGACCAAATCCTGCTTTCCTGGCTCTCAGAAGTACCTCCACTGAAGTCATTGGGACTGAAAACTCCAAGGCAGTGAGGCAAAGAGGCCCTTGCTGACTGACCCCCTATTAGTTGCAAGAGCTGTGATGGGGCTTATTAGGCAAACAGGGGAAATGGTCTAAGCACTCTAATCCTAACCATCAGTTTCATCCTTTCTTTTCTGGTATTGTTAAAAGCAATTGTTTAAGCATTAATGCTTAAGACCATTAATCAAAACCAGAGTTTGTATGAACACACACTGCTAAATTACAGCCAAGCCTGGTGCTACTAAAAGCTCACCAGTGGCAGGCAAATGGCTCTAAGGTAAAGTGAGTCATTTAAAAGGCACATATCCCTTTAATATCCTGAGTTAGTCATTTCTAAAGATAGGAGGGCAGGTAGTGCTATCACATTCATTAACAGGAGTCTTCATACTGTTACTGAAGTACAGGTAATTACAGTAGATGTTTCTGGAGTAGAAATAACCGTGCATTGCATCTCTCTCTCTCTCTCTCTCTCTTTCTAATTTGCATGAATCATTTGGTTTAAACACTGTATGAACCTGCTTCTGTTGTCTGACGCTTAATCAAATTCAATATATAGTTTGAAGGAGACAGATGAGTTTAATTTAGTCTCGACTTCTCTTTCTTCCCACTATAGAAATAAAATGAAGAAGAAGCAGAAGAGAAAAATCAAAATAAAGGTGAGATACAAAAGCAGTTAAAGCACTGTGGTTTGTGTATATTGCACCGCACCATTATATGAGAGTATTAAGGATGCAGTTAATGCAGGTATGTCATTTAAAAAATGTTCAAGTAGGCTAAATACACCCACTGGGTCCAATTTTCCAAATGCAGATACTTTAATAGGACAATAAGATCTTGTAATAGGATGCTCAAACTGGCACTTATGTGCATACAATGGGAATGCCCATGCTTACCTATTGATCTTAGCATTCAGACGCAGGATTCAAGTGTCCTAGTAACATATGCACAGTGAAAACAAAGCTCCCATTCTCATATGTTACAGAGAAGACAGAGGATAGAGCTGAGGAAATAACTAACAACCAAGGTCTTATTCCAAAAACGTAGCGTCCTTTTCTGTTGCAAATGATCTGGGAGCAGTTAACAATTTTCTCGTTTGCCCTTTATTCAAACTTGGTCACAATGACAAAGTAATTTTCTGCGAATAATTCTTGCTCATGGGCTGTTTGTGACTACTCAGAAAGATCGGAAATTTAAGACTTGTGGTTCTTTTTGATTGAATGTATAGGTCACGTGGCTTTGTTTCGGTTCCCCAGGTGGTAGGCCAGAACTCTGAAAAGGGGGGTGGGTGTTAGTACGTGTGCTGAGGACTCAGCGCTGCTCGGGCCGGGCTCGTGGCGTCTGGGGGCAGCGGTGTGTGCACTAACCCGCCGCACGCTACTTTCCAGGACTTCTCTGTACTTCCTGCCCTGCCGGGGACAGCGTGGTGTGGTGTGGTGGGGCGGGGAGGGAGAGACCAACGGGTTCCTGCTGTAGGAGGCACCGCCTGCTCCCCGGGCCGCCAGCGCCCCCCGCGGCTCCCCTGCAAAGAGGGGCGGGTGCGCGGGGCGGGCCCGACGGCGCCGCCCCCCTGCCCGCAGTTGGTCCGCTCCCGGAGCCAATAGGCCGTCGCGCCTAGTGTGGGTTCGGGGGCAGCGACCAGCGCGGAGTTTGCGCCGCGGCAGCGCGGGGCGCAGCATGGGGCAGTGTCAGTGACCGCGCGGAGAGCGCCGCTCTGGCCAACCCGCCTCCGCCAGGCCAGCGTCCCTCCTCCCGCGGCTGCAAAGTTCAGTCTCCCCGCGGGTCCCAGGGCGGCTGCCGCTCCCTCCCCCTGCCAGGAGCCGGCGGCTCGTTTCCTCTTTCGCTCCTCGCCGCCTTTCTCTGTTCGCAGCCCGAAGCGGAGCCGCGGCTCCGGGGACCGCGGCCGCCGCCGAGCAGCAGCAGCGAGCGCTTCACTTCGCGCGGGTCAGGCGAGGGAGCGTCCCACCCCGGCAGCCGGAGCGCGGCGAGACCAGCCCAGCCCCAGGACCTGGTAAGGGCGGTGAGCGGTGGCTGTGCCTCCTTGGCGTGCTGCTGGGGGGGACCCGCCTTCGGCTTGATGCTTGTTTTCTCTTCTCCCACTGTGAGCCCCCCCCCCCATCCCCGTTACCCTTCTCGGGGGGGAGTTAATCGGCTCATCTCCTAGCCTTGGGAATAGGGGAAATGTAACCAGGCTGCAAGCAGGGTTTTGCAACAGTTGAGCTCCCCTTTCATACGGCCGGCGATTTTCCAATAAGTTTGGGTTTAAAACCTCCAACTCGATGCAGTCGGTGCCAGCTGTCAGTGGGGTGCGTGCGTGCATCTTTTGGCCGTGTTCTCCCACCGGGGAAGCCGCTACAAGGTGGGGTCCTTTCTCCTTTCCCCTTTCCTCCAGGGTTCCAGGCAGCAGAGTTAGTGTCCCCATCTCCTTTGGTCTGTGTCCTTAGCAGTTCTGGGGACCCGTCTTTCCAGTCGCTTCCTAACAATGTTGTGGTGTTTTGTTAAGTCTAGTAGATCATGATTCATTTTGTTGAACTCACCATGAATCATTCTTTCTCGCCAAAACCCTTCCTTATGATCTACGAAAGTCGTCTTCTCTCCAGCGCGTTTGTACAGTGCAGATTTACTATTTAATTCCTTCTCCAGGCCCTTTGGATTTCAGAGTTAAACCACTACTCTGACTGTGGGTATGTGAAATGAGAAGGGCTGCTTTTTTCTCTGCCTGACTACAGGTACGCACCTAGGTGTGTGTATATATATTTGTGTGTATGTGTTTGGGTATGTGGGTGTGCATGTGAATTGTCTAATTTAGCAGAAAAATATGATGATTAAAGTTATGCAGAAACCCCAGGGCTCACGTTAATGATGGTTAATCTTTTACCAGTCAGGCTTACAAATGCATAAACATTACACTGTGTTTAAACAAACTATTTTAAAACGGAACTTCCTACTTGCCATACTCTAGAGAATGTCCTTCCAGAAAGTCTTTATGATCCTTTACTGGCCTCTTCAAGAGGCGGCTCAGAAAAACAAAAGCCAGGCTGGCTGGTGAGAGAGACCCTAGATCTGAACAGTTACCTTTTTACACTTTAGTGGGTTCTTTGCTGATCTTTGTTGATTTACATTTGCATTAGAGTTGTCATTTGCTTAGTGATCTGTAGAAAAAGAGAGTGAGTATTTGAGGTTATTATGAAATCTTGAAATTTACAAGAAATTATATATAAAATGGCACACTTATGTTTTTACCAATGGATTTCCATACAGATAACCCTTTCCTGAGTGAAAGTAATGCAGTGTCTGAAATGGAACCTTTTTGTCTTCAAATACTGTATATGCTCAGTGTGGTGTTTAGTCACCACTAGATGTTTGTTTTGTTTTTGTTTTTTTTAAATTGGGACTTTGTCACATCCAGGAATGTTTACAGATAAACTTTGACATGAGATCATAGTATAATATACCTAGCTGCAAACAAAAACCTGTGACTGTAATTCTTGTAATAGGGAGAGAGGGGGATGGAGACCGAGAATGCACTCTCTCTCCTCTTTCTCCTCTCAATATTTAGGGTATTTTCCAGTGGCTCTGAGCCATTCATTGTAATTCTGCCTCAAAACCTCCTATCGCCTAAAATGCAGCTCTAGCAAGACCATGGAGAGTTTCAGTAAACCGTTATCATGATAAAGCTGTCTTGCATACTCATGCCAACACTGCTTCAGTGCTTCCTGCTGTCATTGGCAAGTAAAGCCATGGGAACAATTAATCTGCTATGACTTTGAAGTGCCCTGCCTACTCTCCTTTGGGAACAGCTTTGACCATCTGAAGCTGAGTAGAACCACAAGCATATTGCTGTGACTTCTGAATGTTCTTTTTCTTACAGTTGGCTCCTTGGTGCATGCGAACAACTGAATGTTAGATATCTTCTAATCCAGGGGTTTTCAAACTTTGGGTCGGGATCCCAAAGTGGGTTGCAAGCCCTTTTTAATGGGGTTGCTAGAGCTGGTATTAGACTTGCTGTGGCCCGGGGCTGAAGGCAAAGCCCAAACCCCACCACCTGGGGCCAAAGCCTGAGCCCCACTCCTGAGGCTGAAGTCAAAGCTAGAGGGCTTCAGCCCTGAGTGGCAGGGCTCAGGTTATAGCGCCGCCCCCCCCCCCCCCACCTGGGTCTGAAGCCCTTGGACTTTGGCTCCCACACCCTGGGGCTTGGGTCCCGCCCCCTCACCCTGAGCTGGTGGGGCTTGGGTGGCCTCAAACTTTGGTCCCCGCCCCTCCTCAGGTCATGTAGTAACTTTTTTTTTGTCAGAAAGGGGTCGTAGTGCAATGAAGTTTGAGAACTGCTCTAATCTACAAAAAGAACAGGAGTACTTGTGGCACCTTAGAGACTAACAAATTTAAATGGATTTCCACTCCATACGGCTGAATCAGTGCCTTGCATAATGACAGGTTTCAGAGTAGCAGCCGTGTTATTCTGTATCCACAAAAAGAACAGGAGTACTTGTGGCACCTTAGAGACTAACAAATTTTTCAGAGTAGCAGCCGTGTTAGTCTGTATCCGCAAAAAGAACAGGTCTCTAAGGTGCCACAAGTACTCCTGTTCTTTTTGCGGATACAGACTAACACGGCTGCTACTCTGAAACCTGCTCCAATCTAGTGAGACATGAGGAAACCTCTGATCATCCTAACAGCTCTTTCCTTGTGGTAGACTGCAGGGTACTATTGTTCTGAATTAATAATACAGATTACTTTGTGGTCCAAATGATATTAAAGTTGGGGTCTGACTGTTTTTTTTGTTTTGTTTTTTTTCCCCCAGGGGGGCCACATGAGCCACTGGCTAGAAATGGTAACATTCCAAAAAAACGATAATGTATCCGTTGTTTGGACTTGAGTGGGGCAGAAGTGCTAGTAATTCAAGCTTAACTTTCTGGGTTGTAGATTTTTCTTAATGTTATGGTGATGAGTGATGCGTTGGATATACAGCCTATGTACATCTGTGCGAGTGTAGAATGTGCTGATGTTGGGGATGTTGCTTTTCTGAGTATGTTGATCGGTTCTTAAAACCTGACTTTAGGTCAGTTCAACAACTAAAAGTCTGTCTTCCCTTGACTGCAAGAGAAATCAATTTTTAAAACTGTATTCAACCCTCAGTTTCTAGTATTAAACAAAATGTTTTGATCTAGGATCAGTTCCTCTTGGACGTAGTCTACATCAGAAAATGTATACTGAAGTTGGGCTGCACGGAGAAGAAACAGAGCTTAACTCATGTTAAGTAAATTACCTCTTGCCCACAGAAATTAATCTCCAGATCATGTTGACTGTGTTAATGAAGTAACATGCTGCATCAGGTGTCTGTGCAATAGGTTGTCTGTGACTGTAGGATTTCAGTTTGCAGAGCTGTTAGTTTTAACCTTAATGAGCGTAAAATGTTCTTTAAATGTCTGAAATTCCAAATGCTACAATAGAATGGCAGCATGTTGAAGTTGAACAAATCTATAAGCTTATTTTATCTTCACTTTGCCAGTCTATTGCTGAACAAAAGCTTTCACAAGCTTGTTGGTGGTATGATAATCCTCTAAACCAACACATTGAGTCTCCCAGCCAATAGGTCTTCTGCCTGTTGTCATGTTCTGCTTCAAAGTATAATAGCAAAGTATCTAAGTACTCTTAAACAAAATATTGAAGTCAAATATCTGTCTGCCTCCCGAATTTACAGCTGAAAGAATAAATGCTGAAATGATTCTTCTGGAAATCTTGTGGATCTCTGGAAGTTCAGCATTCTGTTGTTTTTTAACCAGGAGATCTGTTGGTTCAAATATACAATAAAAAGTGCATTCCTTTGTACTTGAGTACTTCAGTGGTGCTATAAGGTACGAGTTTGAGGCTGAATAGATTTAACAATCTGAGATGTGCTGTAATTCCTCTGGAGTGCACTGGCTGAGAGATGTAATTGCTATTAAAAAGTATTATTTATAACTCATAAGGTGACTAGTAAGACCTATGTGTTTTTTAGGCATCTGAATTACCAACTTGGAAGAAAGCACAAATGCTACTCTGTGACTCCCTCTCTTCCTAATATACGCAGCTCTTCCTTGTCCTTTTTGTGTCTGATCCTTTCATGATTAAGCAGGAACGAAGTAGTTCAGTGAATTCTTATTACTAGTTCACATTAGCCAAAGTATGTTTTGCTCTGAATCAGACATTTCCTGCAGGAAGCATTCCAGTTGAAAACTGAGACTCCCACCCACCCCGGTATTTTTTGGATCAAACTACCTGAGAGAGAGTCTACTTGAAAACTAGTCAACTCAAAAGCATGAAGTAAATGTAGCCTCAGCTACTACACTTGCCTTTGAGGCCCTCTGCAGGTTTTACAATAGCATTTTTAAAAAGGGTTTTCTTGCCCCTGTTGTAGGATACTTGTACAGACAGCCAAGCAGATTGACTGCCCTGGTGTAGTCACGTAACTGAATGGGCATGCAGTAAACAAACCAGGAAAAATAATTGTCTCTATGTCAGATTTCAGAGTAACAGCGGTGTTAGTCTGTATCCGCAGAAAGAACAGGAGTACTTGTTTAAAATAACAAATTTATTTGAGCATAAGCTTTCGTGGGCTACAGTCCACTTCATCGGATGCATAGAATGGAACACACAGAAAGAAGATATTTATACAGAGAACATGAAAGGGTGGAAGTATAGGCCAATCAATTGAGATGAGCTATCATCAGCAGGAGGAAAAAAAACTTTTGAAGTGATAATCGAGATGACCCATAGAAGGTGTGAGGATACTTAACATGGGAAAATAGATTCAATTAGTGTAATGACCCAACCATTCCCAGTCTCTGTTTAAACCTAAGTTAATTGTATCTCATTTGCATATTAATTCAAGTTCAGCAGTCTCTCTTTGGAGTCTGTTTTTGAAGCTTTTTTGTTGCAAAATTGGCACTTTCAAGTCTATCACTGAGTGGTTAGAGAGGTTGAAGTGTTCTCCCACTGGTTTTTGAATGTTATGATTCCTGATGTCAGATT